TAATACTTAGTAAAAATTATACTGATATTGTCTGAACCCCCCTCATATATATATATATATATATATATATATATATATATATATATATATACATTTACATCATCATCATAAAGACAAAAACAAGAATTCAAACCCATCTATATTCTCATGTATAAGACCTAATCTTGCTCATTAATAATTCTTTGAAAAAAAAATAAGTAATTAAAAAATGAATTTTTTTAATTATGTGTATAAATTACTGAGTAACTTCTAGAAGAAGAAAAAAACCTGAAATTTTTAACTATCTTTCAAAAAATTTAAAAATATTTTTTTCATAAGAATGATCTGGGAGCAAATAATTTGTATTGGGCTAATGAGCACATGAGAAATTGGTTTACACAGTTGCAATCATGTTTGTTAGTTGTTATAGTTAACCACTTGCCGTGTTGGATATGAAAAGCTTTTGCAATCAAAACAAAACAGTATCCTATACACTGAACTGAACAACTGTTGTTGAGTACTAATTACGTATGCTCATGGCCATCATTGCGTGTGTACGTATCCGCAGAATCACATATGCATCAAACGGTGGATATGCCAAAACATACAATTAATTTCTCCTGCATGTACCCAGCTTCTTAAAGGCGCATTATTTTACAGGTCACTCTAAAATGTCTCCGATGTTGTCAGATTTAGGGTACCCTAGCTCGGTGTCGTCTTGTTCCCTCTAATTTTTTCAATCACTTTAATTTATCCAATGCTATGACCTAAGTGAGTATTATTACATATGTTTACCATTTCTTAAAAGATAAATCTATACAACTTTATTCATTGAAATAATATGTAATAACTGTCACTATATTCATGGTGACCAACTTACCTTTAGTGCATCAACTACGACTTTGATTTCATTCTCTTGCTGGAGCCACTGAATCCCCTTGCATCACCTTCATAACCAGCTGGTCGTTAGCGTTGGCATATTTAAATGTGTCACAACCTCAACTTTTGTATACACTTATTGTTCTATACGCACTGATTTCAACTGTCCTATCAACATTGTTATTTGATTTTGCTCTCTATTTGGTGACCTTAATCAGTTGATTATACATTGATCTGAATACCCGTTCCACCTTTATCAGTTGTAGATAGCGATTTGCTTAGGCAGAGAATCAGAGAGCGATTTGCTTAGGCAGAGAATCAGAGAGCGATTTGCTTAGGCAGAGAATCAGAGACACTAATTTATTGAAAACTAGTCAAATTAATGCTAAATGGTTTTTTTTTTTATTTTTTTATGGATAATCATATTATTTTTAGGAAGTATTTATTAGTTTCTGTAGTGATTAATTTTTGTTTAAAAATCTAATTGACCATCTTTAATGTAATTTATTTTTTTAATAACGTTTTTCTATATATAAAATTGATTGGATTATTTTATGATATTTTTTTGAGAGGATATTTTATAAGTATTATTTTATAAGGTTATTACTCAAACAAACTCTACAATGATGAGATATTGTTTGTTCTGGGCCTTAAAGGCCACGGTTTTACTTTTGGTCATTACCCAAAAGGCCTCTCAATCATTGAAGTATGTTTATGTTATATAAGTTGTTATTTTTTATCATATTTTATCTATATAGGACTTGTTTATATCTCAACAAAAATTTTAACTTAATCTTAAAAAAATGGAGTTGAGTCACACTAAAACGAGTGATTTATTGGTTTATATTAAAAGAGTTTTTAGATGTGATGTTAGTAAGATATTTTTTGTTAATACACTAATTTATTGAAATGATGTTGATTAATGACATTAATTCAGTGATTTATGATAAATTTGAAGTGATAATAAAGAGTTTGTTAATAAAGAAGAGAATGCGTTGTGAACATATTTGACACGAGAAGATGGTAGAAAGAGGTTAGAAAAGAAATAAGGCAGCTAAAGTATAGCAAGTATATACATAGGTGGAGTGCCAGCTGGTGTGGCCAATTAGGTTTAGTTTATTGAAAAGGTGGAATTAATGTTGCCAATTAGATCTGACATGCACATATATATGCATCGTTAACAATCACAAGAGAATAGAGACAGAAGTATATATATGGATATAAATGTAACAGGCGAGGGGTAAAATAGAAGAAAAAGGAACAGTGGACAGTGGACATCTTTGTTTTAGGACTTAAAGTGAGGCACCAACTTACATTAAATGAAGAAATTAAGGCTGTTGAAAAGTCTCAACTACACAATACATCAATTAGGTGGCAGCATTAACTGATATCCACCCACCTCGTGTATATGGATTTGGCAGTATAAATATAAGTACACAAACATTGTGAGTATACTATGATCATAACGATAATCTGAATTCCAAGGGCATGGCTAGCGAACGTGACATGTTCTCAGCGGAGATCGTGAACCGTGGGATTGAATCAACGGGACCGAACGCCGGATCGTTGACGTTCTCGGTGAGGGTTCGGAGGAGGTTACCGGATTTTCTTCAGTCGGTGAATCTAAAGTACGTGAAATTGGGGTACCATTATCTCATAAACCATGGCATATACTTGTTCACCATACCAGTTCTTCTGGTGGTGTTCAGTGCGGAGGTTGGTAGTCTGAGCAAAGAGGACCTGTGGAAGAAGCTTTGGGAAGACGCGCGTTACGACCTCGCCACCGTTCTCGCTTCCTTTGGCGTCCTCGTTTTCACCTTCTCTGTTTACTTCATGTCCAGGCCACGTCCCATTTATCTCATTGATTTTGCATGCTATAAACCCCAAGATGAACTCAAGGTACCATGCTTCTGCTTTACCTTTTTTTTTACTTCTCTTCATTATTATCACAAAAAAATATATCAAATTATGCTTTCTTTCAACAAACTCCTTTCATTGCTTGCCTTAAATTTCCTCTCCATCCCTATTAATTACACTACATTTTATCACACATATTAAGTACTGTAATTAATCCATTCACCTACTTTTTTTTAATAAGGTTTATAAACTTAAATATCGTTTTTAACAAATTTACCCGAACTTAAACATATTAAAATCCATACAGTAATATATCCTAAATTTGTAGGTGGAAAAAAAAATTGAAGACTTCCAACACGTTTTTAAAAAAGATGAAGAATTTTTTTTCAGGTAAGGATGAAGAACTTTTAAATGTGCCTAAACTTGCAACGGATAATTAGTCTCATACAGTCATTTACTCATACATAACAGAGTAAGTAGGTTGAGTTGGACAAAATTTGGATGAATTCGTTATCCAACTTAATTAAAATTTAACAGGTTAAATTGAATCAAATTTGTATATTTTTTTTAAAATTTAATTCAATAGGTTAGATTGACTTGAGTCAATCAAGTCAACATAACTAAATTATTTATTTTTTTATAAAAATTTTAAATATTTCATAATAAATATAATTCATTTGGTATCTTATTGTAAATGTAATATATTAACTAATAAAACAAATAACGATACAAACTAAATTTTAAAATAAATTTGTTAATTTATTATATTATTATTAACTCAAATTAATATAAAATAAAATTAAAAATATATATGTTATATTATTAATTACTTTAAAAATATAATACTCATTATTAAATAAGAATGACAAATAATATTGTCCTAAACAAGTGATAATATTATAATAATAATAATAATATTATTATTAATATTATTATTATTATTATAATATATAATCGGGTTGAGTTGAATTGAATCATCAATTAAAAATCACAAAATTTATTAAGTAACTTGTTTAATAACAAGTTTTAATCGAATTAAATTATGTCTGATTCAAATACTTAAAAAAAAATTAATTCAAATATATTGAGCCAATTCAAATTCGTAACTTATTCACACCTACTTATACTCAACTCATACGCATCCCATGTAATAATTAATCTCACAAGGTATACACTACCTTAAAAGATTATAAAGATACCCATATCTCAAACTCTCACGGGGAGAGAGAGCAAAGACCCTAGTGGTCTGGTATGCATGAAAAAGAAAGAGAAAAAAAAAGGTTATTTTTTTTTTATTGATTGACAAAATTTAGATACAATTTTATGATCAATGTTATTCTCTTATTAGAATTAAGATTTTAACTTTAATTTAAGAAATTGTACCTAACCGTTGTAGTTACATCAACAAATTTAAACTTTAAAAATGCTAGCAACATATTATTTTGAATATATTTTTAATTAGTTAAAATTTATTGAAAAAATATAAATTTGTTATTTTTACATCTTATTTAATTAAAAATTAAAATCTTTTTTTAGTTCTTATAATTTTATTTATTTTATTTTAATTTTTATATTTATTTTTTTAATTATAATAATTTAATAAGAAAAATTTTTATAGTTGGTATATTTGTATTTTTCAATCTATTTTAGCTTTTATCGTTATTTTTTTTAATATTATTTTTTTTTATATTGATATAATAAATTAATTTTATGTGTTTGATCAAATTTACTTTTGAAACAATTTTCTTATCTTAATAAAATTGAAAACCTCTATGATTGAAAAAGAATAATGAAAAGAAAAGTAATGGATTGTTGAAGTGATGAAGATCCATTACAATGATGCAGGTATCTCGGGAGCAATTCATGGAGGTAGCAAGGAGGTCCGGGAAGTTCGACGAAGGGAGTCTGGAGTTCCAAAAGAGGATGCTAATGTCGTCGGGAATCGGCGACGAGACATACATCCCAAAGGCGGTGATATCCTCCGCCGAGAACACGGCCACCATGAAGGAGGGCCGCGCGGAGGCCTCGATGGTGATGTTCGGAGCCCTGGACGAGCTCTTCGAGAAGACACGTGTCCGGCCAAAGGACGTGGGAGTCCTGGTCGTCAACTGCAGCATCTTCAACCCCACGCCGTCGCTGTCGGCCATGATCATCAACCACTACAAGATGAGAGGGAACATCCTCAGCTACAACCTCGGTGGCATGGGGTGCAGCGCCGGCATCATAGGCGTGGATTTGGCCAAAGATATTCTTCAGGCCAACCCTAATAACTATGCGGTTGTCGTCAGCACTGAGATGGTGGCCTTCAACTGGTACCAGGGGAAGAATAGGTCTATGCTTATTCCAAATTGTTTCTTTCGCATGGGTTGCTCTGCGCTTTTGCTTTCTAACCGCCGTCGTGACTATAGCCGCGCCAAGTACCGTCTTGAGCACGTCGTTCGCACTCATAAAGGTGCCGATGACCGTAGCTTCAGGTTCGTTTTTTCTATTTTAGATCATTTTTAATCGATAATTCAGGATGCTATCAAGTTGTTGGCCCCAAATGGACTTTTAAGTGCTTCTAGAAAATCATCATTAATACTTTCAATAGTAGAAAATAGTGTCTAATATCGGCTCACTCATAAAACTCTAGTTAATTATTTGCATATGTTGCCTATTATGATAGAGTTTCGATAGTTTAAAGCCTAGACTTTAACAATTTATTGCACACTAATTCTAAATGACGAAAAGGATTGCTTCTTCACAAAACTCTTGGTTGTTATTTAGACATAACTGATGTTGAGCTATAAAAGTTTTCCCTAAATTCATTAGATGTGATAGTCTACTTTTAATAGCGTTGACATTTTGGTTCTATCTTCCAACCAACCTTCTAATTAATACACAAAATATAAGTGACTCACAAGGAAAATGAAAGTTGCCAAGTTGTTTCACAATTTTTCTTGTTGGCAAATTAATCATTCATCAGCTAAATCAGCATGATTTTCTTAATTCAATTTATAGTGAATTATAATAATAAATATGTGCTACATGAACAGGTGTGTGTACCAAGAGGAAGATGAGCAAAAACTGAAGGGACTAAAGATCAGCAAAGACCTAATTGAGATTGGTGGTGATGCCCTAAAAACAAACATCACCACACTAGGACCCTTGGTGCTACCCTTTTCTGAGCAGCTCCTCTTCTTTGGCACCCTTGTGTGGAGGCACTTGTTTGGCAGCAAAAGTGATGGAAACTCACCATCAATGAAGAAGCCATACATCCCTGACTACAAACTGGCTTTTGAGCACTTTTGTGTGCATGCTGCAAGCAAGACCATTCTTGATGAGCTTCAAAGGAACTTGGAACTAAGTGACAAGAACATGGAGGCATCAAGGATGACACTGCACCGCTTTGGCAACACTTCTAGCAGCAGCATTTGGTATGAGTTGGCTTACATGGAAGCAAAGGAGAGTGTGAGAAGAGGAGACCGTGTTTGGCAACTAGCATTTGGCTCAGGCTTCAAGTGCAACAGTGTGGTTTGGCGTGCCATGCGACGAGTCACCAAGCCTTCTAGGAACCCTTGGCTTGACTGCATCAACAGATACCCTGTTGTTTGAAGGCACTGCTATTATTATTATTATTATTAATCAACTAGTTACAATGTCATGTGATGAAATCTATGGTTATTAGGATCAATAAGGGTAGTTCTAAGTTGGTCTTTAAATTTCAAGCTGCATGCATGCTTTCGGTTTCTTTCCTCATTTTATTATTATTATTATTCCTGGCTTGGAATTGTATACTTTTAATTCCTCATCAGGCATATGGCTGCCTCCTTGTTTCTTTGTCTCCTTATAGGATGATTGATATCAAACTTGATGAATGACTATTACCTTTAAGTCAATGCTACTACACGGCTTGTGTTTTAACTATACTTCTTCCTTAATTTGCCTCAACGGCTTACAACATAACCAAACTCCATATTATGACTAACATACATGCATCAATTTAAATGAGATTAATCTAATTAACTTAACTAATAGTGTAAGTTCGAGATTTTAATATATATAATTATGTTAAATACTTGAAAAATAAAATTTGGTGTCCATAATAATCTTATTTAACTTTGAATAGAATTAGCTCTAATAAAAAATACATGTTTTCCACACTTGAAAAAAAAAACCTCTATACAAGATATTTAAAACAACTTGAACATCTGATAGTCTTAATGACCAATTAAGCTAGAGTCTTGGTTCAACTTTCTGGTTTATATCCAAGTGATGAGATATCGATATAAATAGGCTGAAGATTAAATAATATTTAAATTGGCTGATTGGACACGGAAGCATTATCCACTAACCTGTCTCTCTCGCAAAACCATGTGGCCATGCATGCTGAAAGCGTCTCTTAACCGTTCAAGAAGAGACTTTGTTAGTGTTATAAATGAATGTTTGGACCTTCAATAATTCAACTCTATGAACTCTATCCCAATTTGACCCAAAACACTTAAGGTTTTGAATTTGTACAAATCAAAATCCCTTTGTGGCATTCATATCGTTAACTTCATTATTGTATGCAGCTAGTAGCTGGGGAAAGTTGGCTGTTCAATTATAATAGTAATAATCAATAAATATCTGCTACATAAACAGACACCGTTATCATAACCATTGGTGAGGCGTTATTAATGCTAAATCAAGGCAATGTCAAAGTTGGACCTGGTGACGAATGTTCTTAGTCATCTAAAAAAGATGGAACAACTTGATTGACTTGGGAGATGTTGATGGAACGATTAAAAAATTAAAAATCGGTGTCCTCCAAAAGGTAGAAGACATTTTCGTGCTGCTTACTAATGACGTGATATTTGACATTGTTTAGCTTCAATTTGATGGCAAGGTTACATCCAAAGTCGGAAACGGAAATAACCACTACAATAGGAATGGCAACAGGACGTGTAAAATATGGGTTTCATGATACCGTTTCCGTCCATCTTCCTGCGACTTAAATTCATCGCTGTATCCGTACCTGTACGAGTATGTAATTTTCGTCTCTATTTTCGTCTCTATCTTCGTCTCTGTTAGATATCGAGTATACCCGTACCCGTAAAAAATTATTATTCTTTTTTACAAAAAAAAATACATATTTTTAAATTATTTTATTTTATATTATATTATAATTATAATTAAATTATTTCTCTATCTGATATTTTAATCAAGAAATTTCTTAATAATTAAACAACTATAAATATTTTATATTATAATAAATAATTATACATAATAAAATATTATTTTTTTAACATTATTCAATCGGGAACAGGTACGAGTACGTAGCGGGTATGTATATACCCGTACCCAGTTTAACATATTGTACTCATACCCGTCCCCGGTCAAATTGAGTATTTCCCGTTAAAGTTGAGACAAATTCGAGTATTACTCACGAGTACAAGTTTATTTGTCATCCCTAAATACAATGAATGCATTTCCAACTTAAGAATAACGTTGCAGTTGCCGATATCTTTCTACCATCTGGAATTATACTTACGAATAAACAAACAAACGATATCCTTGATTAGTTTGAAAAGCAAGGGTATGTTCAATTAAGGATTTCGTCATCATATTTGTAGAAAAATAATCGTTAAATTGTATTTTTAAGTCTTTCATAATATTCAACTCCGGATTTTGGTGTCTGTTTTTTAATTTTACAATCTTAATCATCTACTCTTACATAATTGTCGATTTTAATTCCTTGTTAAATGTTCATTTATTAACAGCACCGATCATAATATCTAACATTAAATAAATATTATAATAATTAATATTTAATAATATTTAAATTTAATTGTACTTTTTATTCTTCTATTTTTCATCTAATAAAAATAGTATAAAAGAGAGACAGAGATATTAAAATGAAAGAAAAAATAAGAAACAAAAATAAAATTTAGTCCAAAAAATGACTAAATATTAACTATCATAATATCTATTTAATCCTAATTAATGTTACACTCCTAACAATCAATGAATGAATATGTAATATAATGATGAAAATTATAAATTTTATAAAATTAATAGAGACTAAAATTGCGAAATAAAAATATAATGGAATCAAAATCACATCACAATAAGTTGAATATAATAGGAGCCTAAAAGTTTAATTAGCCACAAAAATAAAAATAATCATACAATTAATAATAATAAAAATATATTTGTGTTGATAACTGTTTTGTCACTTAATAATAGTAATATAAATATAATATTTCTTTTCCTCTCCACTTCTTAATTTGTATCCTTCTTTTATAATGTAAATATTCATCACGGAAGTTACCCACTTTCACTACTCACTTAAGAAAGTTATATTATCTCTCTTATTTTATTTTTTTACAGATAAATATATAAAAATATGAAGTCTCTTTTTTTTAATAATAATAATAATAAAATACAATTATGACTCATTTATGTTTGCATTCCAGGACTTGGAAATAGCAAGCCCGAAGATTTCATTAGAATTTAAAAGGAATTATTTACTTTAAAGAATTGCGTATAGTGGAGGATACATCTGGTTTATATAAGGAATTTATTTTGGTTTAACCACCTATCGAGCATAAACACAATTAGTGAAAGATACGTGTGATATATATAATTAAAAAAACATTAAAGTAATTAATAAATTATATAATTAGTTAGGCAATTAAATTGAGTATTAAAAATATATAAAAATGTTATAATTCAATTATATGTAGTTCATTAAATTGTTTTAAGTGAATTGCATAAAAAAAATGTAAATAATAATAATAATAAATAAGGAATAAGTTACAATAATAATAGGGTCCTTTTATATCCTATTAAACCAATATATATATATATATATATATATATATATGAACTGAAGATATGAAGTAAAAGTCAAATTATTGATTTTTTTTTTCCAAAATGAGAAAGACTTTAAAATATACAAATTATTTGTAGTAAATAGTAAAAGAAAAAATATAAAAACATATATGAAAAACTTGAACGATAATGACCAAAACATGAAATAACATAAAAGTAAAATGAGAAATGAAAAAGAAAAAAAAACGCACATAGGTGATATCCACATAGAAAATAGAAGAAATAAAAATAAAAAACACAAAGCAAGATCATATATATGCCTAATCAATTAAGGCTTGCTGTGGGACATGAATTGACTTGATGCTTCCAAATTTAATTTTCGTTTGTGTTAAATAATATTTGGTCTTACATCTTATAACCGTAGATTAATTTTTTATTCTCAATTTTTTAATACTACATGGACCATGACGATATAAAAATAAAATAAAATCAATTGTTATTTCTCAGAGACTTGTAAGTGTGATTCTCTTTCGCTCAAACCACAAAAGCAAAATGAGTGAAAGAAAATTCTAAGTAGTAAAAAAAACAAGTGAACAAATGAAAAGAATGGAATCATAATGTATAGCCATGCTAGTTAACTGTGAACCTCGGAAGAAGATTATATAAAAGAGGATAAAAATACGATGATGATTATTTTTATTTAATAACATATTTTTATATATATCTTGATGAAATACTATATAATTAATAACTTATATTTTACATTAATATTTACGTAATAAATATCATTGGTGTGAGAATTTTTATTTCTTGTTAAATATAATTAAGTCTATTAAATTTAATTAAATCTAACGATTATTGTAAATTTTCGGTATTAAACAACGACTGGTGTTAGTTCAAGTCTAATTTACATTGGTGAGAGCAATTTAATTATTTGTTAAACAGTTATATCCATCGAATTGGATCAAATCTAATAGCTATTCTTTTCCTTGTGTACAAAAAAATAAAAATAAAAATAGTTGTTGTAATGTTTCTATTTCAATCAACAGTTGATGTTAGCTCAAGTCTAGTTTACATTAATGTGAACAATTTTTTTCTTAGTTAAATATAATTAAGTCTAGCCTATTAAAACTTATAATTGATTAGCTCCAATGGTTATGGTAAAGTTCAGGTTTCGGTCAACTATTGATGTTGGTTAAGTCTAGTTATCTTTAATGTGAGGACTTTAATTTTTTTATTAAATATAATTAAGTTTATTAAATTTGTTGGTATTCAACATTGATTTTAAAGTTTAAATTTCACTCGGTGACTAATGTTAGTTTAAAGGTGAGTTTGATAAAGTTAGCATTTTTTATCTATAATAATTACAATGATAATAACAAAATTTAAACTTAAGATTTTTTTATCTACATCAACCCTTCACTATTAGGTTAGTTCTAGTGATTCAGCTAAAAGTTTATGAGATTAAAAAAAACCTCATAATTTATAAGTTAAGAGATAAAAAAAACAAAATTTATAAACTAATTGATTAAATCGAAAATGTTTGATAAGATCAAATGATAAACTAGTTGATAAACATAAAATGATATGAAGTTATTTTTATAATAAAAGTAAGATAAATGACAAAGTAGTCAAAAAATATTAAATTAAAAAAAAATCAACTAAATTAATGAAGATATAAAGAAATAAAAAAAATAAAAATATTAAGATTAAGATCTATAAGTTACTTCAATTAGTTTATCAGTATAAACTCCTAAAACAAACTTTTATATCAAATAAATTTTGTTCACACTAGATTTGTAAACTTATTAAAGGTATTTATAAACTTTTCGAATCTCTTACCAAAGACACTTCATGGTTTGCATATCTAACTAGCTTGATAATATATATAAATAATTTGGTCTAAGGGATGTCAGGCCACACTCGTATAGATAGATTCTCCTAATGAGTTGTTATTCCGGGGTAGTGGCAGATACCTATACTTAATTTAAAATAATAAAAAAACTGGCAGAGTAACAATATATATGGGTTAAAGAAGAGTCATTTGTGAGACAGAAGTTGTGATATTTTATATGCAAGGATTTTTAACCCAATGGTATTCGGCTTTGGAAGTTTAATGTATGACTTTGGCAATTGGTATGATTGGATTTTATGTGGCGTGATTTATGGCCTATGAGGAATGTTGATCAGGTGGTATTGCGGACGAAATGTTCGTCGTAACCAAGCAAGGAGCAATCAAATTGGATTATGTGGCTGAAATATACCCTTTGGTCTGTGATGCTAATTCGTGAAAGCTACCAATTATCCCGAGGTTAACTTTTGACAAAATTTGAAATTCACCAAATATAGGGATTGCCCTATGTAGTTTTAGTATGAAATGTATAGACAAGACAATCAAAGGTTGTGCGTTACTCTCCTCATGTAGGTGCTAGCTTTGTATTTTTATTGTCTGTTATTTTCTCAAGCTTATTGGTCTCACCTTTGGCACCTCTTGGGCCATAGTTAGAGATAAGCTAAGAATAAATTCTCTTGGCTTAAAAAAACTAAAGAATAAGTTGTTGTGTGTCAGTTTTATGATGAAGTGGATGTATAGAGCTTGTAAAGCTGAAAATTTTAACCATTTAAGAATAGGATGTGTTTTCTCTCCCCTAATAATCTTGTAAACCTTTCCTTTAGCACACATCAAACACTTCTGTTTCTTTACTTTTCACTTGCTTTTGAAAATGGAGCAGAAATTCATGTTAGATCTTTTAGAATCATGTTGAAATAACCAATATAATTTTAGATGTGTTCATATATTTAGCTTCATGTTGAGATTAACTCTAAATCTAAAACTGATTTTAAACTAAAACAACTTTTATGTTTAATAAAAAATTGTATAGAATTTTAGTACTAACTTGTTTTTAAAAACATTCAAATATAAATCAAGTCACTTCAAAATCAATTTGCAAATACTCACCCACGCATACTGGAGATCCATCCGTCCACCCTTGTTTTCTTTTTTACCTTTTTTTATCACTAGAATATTAAACAATAGAAAGTGTATTACAAGTATTGATATTGTTCAATATCGCAACATACATCATTATAATAGGAGCAATGGGAGCAAAAATGTTCATCACTCATATAGACGGTGCCTGCCTCTACTGATATTTTTTGCAAGCCTTATTTATCATGCAAAAATAAAGCAGTGAAATGGGGAGAGGGACTATAATGATAGAGCCCATACCCCAATTACCAAAGAAATATAAAAATGGGAGCAGCAGGAAATGACTTAACGAAAACAATCAATCGTTGTAGTTGTCACGCTAACCAATCGTCATCCATACTCTCAATATCTCCAATATCCATGCTGTGAGTAGAATTGTCAAGAACAAAAGAAGAAACAAGAAAAAATGGAAAACGATTAGTATCAAGCATATGTATATACATCATGTTTATATTGGAAAGTCCAAAGTCAAAAATGCATGCACTATTTGGATGCACTCCGCCACAATTGACATTAATAAAATTTAGATTAGATATATATTTAGACTTCAAAAAAAAAAAAAAAAAAACGCAGAACCAGAGAACCAATAAGCTATTCTAAGTTGGTCAAACTAATGCAGCGTTTACAAGGAAAGCCCATAACTCGTCTAATAACATAATACTCCTGGTGGTCATAAACACTAAAACCAATTTATAAATACAAGTAATTAAAACAAAAGTACTTATAACATTAACTAATAACAATACTATATAACACGGCCTCAAGAATTCACTGGACCAAGCCTTACAAATTGACTGTTCCACAAGGCCTACTAGAAGTCCACAAAGAAGGAATTATAAAATAAACTTAATACTAACAATATTTACAAGTACAATTCTAAACCATCTGAAGGTTTCACCAAGGAAACATACAATAAACTTAATAACGTTTACATGATCAAGAACAAATCACACACTAACACAAACAGAGGATTGTCTTCAACGGGTACAATTCTAAACCGTTTGAAGAAAGAACTATTTCAAGAGAATCAATATCAGACACAACACTGAATATGGAGATAAACAAAAATAAAAATAAGAAAGCTACGAGAATTTCGACTCCTGACTTGTGCTCCACAGCCAATTTTAGTAAGTTCAACTTGAAACCGACCAGGATAATTACTATTTAATAGTATTACACTTGAACTCGATCTACAGTTCAGCCTGAACAGACTAGATCACTAGGAATTAGGACACTTACCGACTCCATAAGATCCTCCAAAAGAAGAAAGAGCACAATGAACTTACATACAAAATTATCCCACCAAGAATTAAAATAACAGTAACGTAGATCTTCTAATTCTATAGGTGGAGAAAAGATTGAATCTTTTCTGTGTAAAAGTGTGAAAACTGATTAAATTTCCCCCACAGATATATATATATATAAAAAAATATAAAAAAAAACCCAACAAACTAAAAACTGCCCTGTTCCTTTTCCTAAATAAGAGGTACAAACAAAAAGTACTTCATAAACAAAACTCAATTTTAAAAATTAAAAATCTTATGTTCAACTTACCAAGGCAAGGAAGAATCTTGGAAATAACCCTCCGAGCACTGCTCTAAGCAGCTCTCGTTTGCATTCAACCAATCTGGAAACTCCAGAAGTTGGTCAAAATTATGGCGTGCATCATCTTCAGCCTTGGCTTCAGGTGTCCTATGTTCCATGTTTTTCAAGAACTTGAACCAACAAGCTGATTTGACCAAATTCATGGTATCATTCCATTCCATTTGATGTTGCTCTCCTAATGATCTGATCTCTTTCATACCCTCATCATCCATGGCCGTGTGCAAGCCTCCAGTAACCCGGGTTGCAGCATTGGATTCAACAGAATCCACCAATGAAGAAACTCCTTCTCCCTGTGATGTTCCAACAGAAGGAAGTTCCTGTGGAGGAGAAGACGAGGTTGCAGATGAGTAAGAGGATAATGATGAGTTACTGAGGTGAAGGGTAGCATCTAAGTAGTTGAAATCTTGAAGATTGAGATTCAATCCCAAAGTCTGATTTGGAAGTACAAAATTGGGGTTTTCAGCCACTAGGGGTGGTGGAGTAATTGGGGAAGCAGCAGGCCAGGTGTAAGAAATTGGAAGCGGTGAAGGTTGGGATAAGCCTGAATATGAAAAATCATCCATGTGACTTGAAAAATTGGCTGTGCATGCGGGATAAATTCTGGGGTTTCTCCTAGATTTAAACTTTCCATCTTGGTCAAAACTAGGATACTGGGGTGGCTGGAGGGATACTGATGGCCTTGGCTGCTGTTGTTCTTGGGCTTGTTGCTGTTGCTGCTTCTGTTCACTTGCTTCTTTCATAGCTGCCCTGTGAAATTTCAAGGCGGTGACAATCTCCCTCCGAGCCTCAGCCATATTCAAAAGCCTTTCTTGATAAGGCTTACTGGTGTGGAGTCTCCTCCTAACTTGTTTTTTAAGTTGTTGTGGTTGTGTGGAAAGCTGTGCCCGACGAGCACCTGCAACTTTGCCATGCTTTGTTGAATTTTGACCATGGGAAACACAATTTTGCTCTTTTGGGTTCATGAAGTCTTTCGTTCTAGAGGTGGTTAGTTGTTTCACCAGGCTACGGATGTAAGCACCAGGGAGAGGTTCTTCAACCTTCCTGAGCCTATCAAATTCCATTCTTTTTTTTTCTCCTCTTACTTTAAAGAGGATCCACCTCTCATATCTGTGTAGCTAGGTATCAACTTTCCTCTAAAAAGATTTCAGAAAGGTGATAAGTTGGTGGAATCTATGGGTCTTCTCCTACAATTCTGAGGGACTAACAAAGTACACAATGCAGAAGCAGATAGTGATCAGAAGGAAATCCTGGTCCTCCTGGATAGCTTCATGAGCGTTATAAATAGTTGGGGACAGCCTAGGGCCTTTAAAATATTTTGGACTTTAGTCTATAAAAAATATTGCACTTTTCATTGTTTGGCAAACTACGTTTGTTACCGATTTATTACCTGCTTTAAATGAATTCATCTGAGTGGTCTCACAATGTCATATCTTCAACAATAATACTAACTTCCTTTACTACGATGAATAGTTATATAGCTTATTTCTTCTATACCAAAAGGTATTTCTAGTAGCTTTCTATACCATATCAGCATAACGAATTGGGTTTTCACATTACATTAGAAGATATGTTAGAAAAAGTACAAAGAAAAATTACAGCACGAGAAAGATATAAACAGAGAAACAACAATCACAACCACAGAATATAGCAATATATAAAGACAAAAAAAGGCTCTTCAAAAATGCAAGCCTTCCTTTTAACCAGGTGCAATAAGGAATAATAACATGAACTTAATATTACCACAGTTTTAGCTTTGTTATTCTCTCAGAAGCTATTGATCATATCACGAAAAACTTTCAAAATGGAAAGACGCCAGTCTTTTCTAAAATCTTAAAATAAAACAAAAACAATGTAAAAAAGAAGATTCCTTACGTAACTTTTGTTTTGAAATTACATATATATATATATATATATATAT